CTCTGGGAATAGGGAATAACCCCCAAATCCCACATCCCAGGCAATCCACGTGGAATAACGACAACGAACACCCCCAACACCGAACCCCCAAACCTCTCCAGCATCCCCAATCCCCAAAAAAATCCTTGGGAATACAACCAAATCCCGGGAAACGCCTCAGGGAACGCCCACCTTGAGTCTGGATGGGGTTGAAGAAGGGGAATTTGTCCTGGTAGAGGCTCTCGAAGGAGCTGTTCCGAAGAGCCGACACCGGAAGCGGCTGCAGATCCAGCAGCTCCGTGGGAGGAGGATATTTTTCCGGAAGGATCAGGTGTCGGAATGACACGGGAAGTTGGGTCTCGCAGGCTGAAGGATGGAAAAAAAATTCCAGGATTTTAGGGATGGGTGAGGGTGAGGTGAAGAGAGGTGGGGTTGGAAAGGGGGAAAAGGGATGGAAAATGGATTTCAAATGTTTGGGAAAGGGAAAAACCCGGAATTCCAAAGCTCTGGAAATAGGGGAGAGAGCAGGGATCCCAAATTTCTGCTGCCACTTGGATTCCTGGAAGTTTTTCCCTGGATTCCAGAGGATTTTCCGCCAGGAAAAGTGGGATAAACCCAAAATCCCAAATCCCAACTGCCACTTGGATTCCTGGAAGTTTTTCCCTGGATTCCAGAGGATTTTTCCCCAAGAAAATGGGGATAAACCCAAAATCCCAAATCCCAACTGCCACTTGGATTCCTGGAAGTTTTTCCCTGAATTCCAGAGGATTTTTCCCCATGAAAAGTGGGATAAACCCAGAATCCCAAATCCCAACTGCCACTTGGATTCCTGGAAGTTTTTCCCTGAATTCCAGAGGATTTTTCCCCATGAAAAGTGGGATAAACCCAAAATCCCAAACTTTTGCTGCCACTTGGATTCCTGGAAGTTTTTCCCTGGATTCCAGGGTTTTTTCCCCTGGGAAAAGAGGGGTTATAAACCACATTTCCCCCAAAAAAATGTGGAATAAACCACTGGAAAAGGGGCACTCAAAGAGCCATAAAATCCAGAATGAAGTCCAGGAATAACCGGGAATAAAGCCCAAGAAAAACAGGGAATAAAGCCCAAGAAAAACCTGGAATAAAACCCAGTAAAAACCCAGAATAAAACCCAAGAAAAACCAGAAATAAAAACCAAGAAAAACCACGAATAAAGCCTAAAAAAACCAGGAATAAAATCCAAGAAAAAGCAGGAATAACCCCCGGGAAGGGGCACTCACAGAGCCATAAAATCCGGAATAAAACCCAGGAAAAATCAGG